TCCAGGCACGCCACACTCTCAGGCACAAACTGGCGGATGCTTTCCACTGTTCGGGTGCTGGGGACGTTTTCAGAGGACGCTGTGCTCGGGGCCTCTTTGTCATAATACTCGGTGCATGTCCACCTACCCTTCTTAAAAGGCTCAGAGGTAGAGTCCAATTTGACCACTCTGAAACGTGAGCTGGTGGAGGCAGGAGTAGGCACTTGGGCCTGCTGAGGCTGAGCATTCATCGCCGGGACAGAGGGAGCAGGCATTGTGTGCTGGCCCATGACAGCTGGGCCCACCTGCCCACCACCTGTTGAAGCAACACGACTAGAAACAGTGGTAGCAGCGGTGATGCCCATGCCAATTATTCCACTGGGAATGTGCGTCAAGTTTACTGTTTGGTTACTAATACTATTCATAGCAGGGGAGTAGTTTACATTGCTACTATTGGTACTCTTGCCACCCACAGGCACACTGGCAGAATTTAACATACAAACATTATTTGTTATAGGATTACCAGTACTAATTGTGGCACCTGAAGTGACCGAGATCATACCAGTTCCTGAGGCGACAGTGGCCAAAGGCTGACCGATGACTGCAGTTGAGCCAACAGAGGCGTTCTCAATCAATCCTACCACATTTGAAGGCATTTTCTGGCCTGTGCTAGCTAAAGCTCCAGAACCTGAGGACACCGCAGATGTGACTGCGGCACTCAAAGGTATACCAATCTGTGTCCCACCAGCAGGTTGGGCTTTTCCAGAGGAAGCAGGATTATGGGGATGATGGTGCACAGTCCCATTAACCATAGTGCCATGCAGGTGTGCTTGGGTGAGAATGGGAGGCTGGTTGGGCGACACGGCCCCCGGGGTCTCCGCCTCATGGAAGTTATTCAGCGTCTCCTCCGAGGAGCTCCTTTCCGGTCCCCCTGCATTGTTGGCCCGCGGAAGTGACACATCCATGATCTCGGAGGACGACAGGTCTTCGGTGTGGGACTCGTCCAAGTCGTCACAGCTCTCAGTGTCTTCTGTAATGCTGTTGTTGGTGCTGACAGATGTCTGAGCGGGAGTAACGCTGGTGATCTGAAAGCCACTCTTCTTTTTCATCTGAGCCACTGTGGTGGGCATAGTTTGGGGTAACAGGGTGGTCTGCACGGGGATATTCAGGCTCTGAGGAGGGTTCTGGGACCCGAGAGAGGATGCAGCCGGCGTCTGAGACTGAATCAGCACCGGAGATGAATAATCATCCCCCAGCATCAAGTTGTTGCTATTAAGACTGGTGCTTCCAGAAGTTGTCAATGTGGAGGAACCACCCACCGTGCTGCTGCTGCTCTCCCGTTTGGGTAAACTCATGGGGTACACCATTTTTCGGACGCTGCCTGACTCCCCAGATCGGTCGTGGTGATTCATTCCTAGAGGATAGTCTCCAGCAAAGTTATAAACACAGCTCAAGAGAACAAGCTCTTTTTGAGAAGCAACTTGAAGCCGCTCGAGTAATTTCCACATAAAACCAACACTTTCCAATAACTGCCAGGATAATTCCACTTGAGGTGCGTTTAAATGTCCACCATGAGGAGCAGGCTAACGCCGATGCTAGGTAACAGTCGCTAGTGAGCTAGCTGACACGGATTCGCTTCAGCTGTTGTTTTCAAGCGTATATCCTCGCAAAACCATTCAGCACACCATATCGTTGAAGTTTAAACGTGAGGGCGTCGACACAGACAGCCGAGGCGAACGATATCCACACTTACAACGACACAGTCTCTCCCATCACAGTTCAAA